ACGCTCTTGCGCATGTTACCACTTGCATGTTCGCCTGCTCACGGCCATCCCATGTGCGCGCTGTCCACCCAACATCCACCCCTCGCGCACCACTTATTTCTTCCGTAATGTAAACACCCAAGGCCTTAGCCTCCAAGTGTCGTGCGCGTCGCTTCCTCGCGCACACCTTGCGCCCTTCGACCACGCCGCTCAAGCCTTCAAACCTCAAACCCTCGAGCTTCTTGCTCGACTTCCTATGCCATTGTGCATGTCGGCACCCTCGTATTCGTGCTCGTGCACGTCTCCGAGGCCATGCAAGTCTCGTTTGCGCTCTTTGCTTGGCCTTATCCATTAGCCTCAGCCCTCGGCCTTTCTCATCATCGGGGGTCAAAACCCACTTCCGTATCATTCCTGCCCCCTTTAAGACTGTCCTTGTCCTCAAGGACTCGTCATCGACCATGAATTGGGGCGTCGTCACCTCGACCACAACATCTTCTTTGGACTCGACCCAAATGCCTTCAACCTCGACAAAGTACTCATCGGGATATACATCAAAGATAGGCGGTCCTTCATAATCCTTTGACTCATTCACGTACTCGATGGGCATTAAGTCCTTAAAATATTTCAAGAATTCCAGCGGAAAGATAGGCTCCTTACACTTTTTGTCGATCTGGCCTGTTTCTTTGTCGGGCTCGCCTAGTACGTGGTCGGATGCTTTAAGTAACTCGCACTTCTTGAATTGCTGCTGCTCGATCATCCAAATCTCGGGCACCTCGCCTTTGACCTCAGTTGCTTCGACCTCGGTTTCCTCGACATCGATCACTAGTTGGAACATCGCCTCCTCTTCAACCGCCTTGACCCTTTTACACGTCTCGTCATGGATCTCTTTGTCCATTACTTTGATCTCGCTCGCGACATCGATTACCTCGTCTTCGTGCGTGCCTTGCTCGTGGTCGTGGTGTTGTTCGAACTCTTGATCGTCACGCCGTCGCTCGCGTTCGAACTCCTCGTATGGTCGTTCACGTGCATCGTGGCGTTGCGCACCTTCGGCCCGCTCTGGCGTGTTTCGCGCATCGCGTCTAGGCGATGGCGTGCATTCCTCGTGTTCAGCGTGCCTGCGGTTCTCGCGCCTCGTCGGAACGTCATGATCTCGCTTTTGTTGGGACGCCCGCAGCACCTCATCTAGGCGTTGCTCGAGTCGTGCCACGGTAGCGTTGGTGTTGCCCTGGCCCTCGCCGAGAGATCTAGGTCGCCCTTCCACGGCTTTGCTCATAACCTCCTTATTGAACGAGTTCGGTTTCTCGCTCTCGACCGACTCGACCGTAATTTCAACCTCATACTTATCGTGCTTGACCAATTCGACCTCCATCTCATTCTTGGACTCGCCTTGGGCCTTGTCGCCTACTCGCGACTTCTCTTGCTTGATCTCAGCTTGCTCGCACTCTCTCCTCGCCCGATCGTGACCGTAAGGTGGTGGCCGCACACGCAGTTGTGGTCGATCATTGTTCGTGGTTGGTCGATGCGCAACTCTTAGGCACTCGTTGAACCGTGGGCGGTCATGAATGTTTGATGTCTGAGGCCGCTGCTCGACATCCTCTTGGACTTGGTTGTGGCCCATGAATTCCCGTTGGCAATTAGACAGGTTGCCTCTCTTCCCTTTATGTGAGGGAGCCTCGTCGTGATGGCAATAGATCGGAGTCTTGAACCGTGCGACGAGCTCCTTCTTAAAATCTTCCCATCGAGTTGGATTGTGTTGGTTACGGTAGAGCCATCGCCACCAAACTTTGGCCCCTCCGTCAAAATAATTTGAAGCATACTTTACCCAATCCTTCATTGGTAGATCTTCGAGGATGACATATGCAAGAGCTTGC